TGAAGTTTACAGGGAAGCACAAAAAACTTGTGAAGTTTACAGGGAAGCACAAAATTTGGATCTCTGTCTGCCTCTCTGTGCCCAGGTAAAAGGGAGGTGGCCTGTAACCAGGTAGTGCACACTTGCTTCACACACAGCATCTCAGGACACCAGCACAAGCACAAGCAGCAGAGAGCACTCAACAGGAGAGCTATATTCAAGTACACCTGCAGTACTCTAATGATTTCAGCCATTCCCTGAAGACTCAGTTAAGGTAGTGTTGTCCACACACACCTAAAGTCATGTTTTTCTCTCAAAAGAAGTCACAGCCTAAAGAGATGCCTGGCACCAACTCACAGGGCACAGAAGGCAAGTCTAGCAGGAGAGAAGAAGCTTCTGTGTTTCAAGTGCAGAAACCCATACCAACCAATTAGGCCAAAGCAGGAAAGCAGCTGTCCTCAGCTCTGAGGGCTTGGGACAGACTCTGATCAGAGTTTGAGAATAACCAGTTCCAGAACTCAGTCCACAACATAACTAGAAAGTCTGCACAGAAACTTCATGCTAGCACCACCAGATAAGTTTTCCTACTCAAATCACAGCCATTTGTCACTTCCTCTGGCCCACCTACTTCATGCTGAGTGCCGAAAGCCATGACTAACAGCCCAGTAGTGTGAGCTCTGAAGTCAATAGAGGAGGTCTGTGTTCAGAGAAGGGGATGAAAACTCTCAAACCCAGGATATGTAACAGCTCTTGCAAGAGCTGCCGTTGCAACTGCCACAGCAGTCACGCTGGCTGGGTGCTGCTCCTGGCACACTGGATCCAAGTGGCACAAAGTGACCTGCCTGAAGCTGAGCAGTTTCCCCATCTTCACCAAGTGTGTGTTAATACCCTATCACTATCTCACGCTGCAGTTGTAAACCCTGAGGCCTTTGGACAACATCCTACAAACAAATTAAGCTCTCCCCTTCCCATGCTTACTGGAAGCAGGGAAAGATTAACAGGCAAGCTCTGCAGAGCCTGAGCAGTCAGTGTGGCACCTCACAAGCTTTCAGGGAAAGGAAGACACCCATTGCATCAGGTACTGGTAATCTTGTACAAAAACCACAGCAGGTAATCAGACCTCAAGGTCCCATGAGAGCATGCATTACAGTAAAAGGTCTATATGCACAGTACAGTTTTTTCAGGGACAGCATCTCCTCAAGCTGTTAAGAATAGGCTTACTACTTATTACGTTCAATGCTGGTGGCTGCATATTCAGGGAGCTGATATCAGTAGAGATGACAGCAGGGAAAAAGCAGAGAAAAGGCAACATCAAGCAGAAAGTCTGACATAGCAAGGAGCAAAGGAGTAAAGAAACAAAGGGTGAGATACCTACACAAGTGGAAAATAAGGTATTTCCTTTCTGAGCTAACCATACTGATCTGTGTCCTCTCCCTCATGCAGCACCAGGTGAAGGGGGAAGAAGGTAGAGATGGCTGTGTTCCCTCTCTAAAATGGTGGCATCCAGCAGCCCCCCAGGGTGCAGAGAGAGCACACTCAGGAAGGACAGAACTAGGCAAGTGACAGAGCAGGGCAGGCAGGACTAGACTGAGCAAGGCCAACTTCTAACACCTGCATCTAAAAACAGGTCAAGCCTTCTAAAGCCCTCCAGCAAAGGAACAGAGTACCCCGATGTGAAGGTGGGACAGGCTGTACCACAGCACTCATCACTGGGTTTCATCATTATGCAAATGCCTCAATACAAGGCTTCACCTCTGTTCTCACAACAGTGGCTGTAATCATGACACAGAAATGATTACTGTGCTCTGCCCCTTTCAGGCTTGTGTGTTCATTAGACAGCCCCACCAAGACCAGATGGACATTAAAGTCTACAAAGCAAGATGCAGAAAGGAGAGACTCACAAAATCCCTCCAACAGCTTTATCTGGACTGCTTAAGAAGCCCAAGTGTGAACCCAGAGCCAGTTCTCAATGAGACAAGGGGTCACTGCCTGTCACTCACCATGACATGAGCTTTGGGCCCCTGTACCCTCCACACCAAGAAGGCAGTTCAGCCACACAATCACCTTCTAACAAGAGAACGGGATGTTTTCTGACAGTACAAGAGATGTTGGACTCCAGCACCTAGAGCCCAACAGCATAAGGCTTAGTAGAGACCACCTTTAAGAGGGTTCACAGCCATTTAAGCACAAGAAATGAAGCATGAGGTATGATGATCTCAATACAGGTATAGATGGACCTCTCAAAGTCAGGACTGTTGCTTCTACTGCTGGTCCTCTACAGACAGAAAAAGCCTCTTAGGATTAAGTAGAAACGGCATGAGTTGTAAATCTGTGTGTGTACAGAGCAAATCTATTAACAAACTATGAGAGCAAAGCTAGCTGATCTGACCCACAGGGTAAGAGCACTCCTTGCACAGCTGGAAAACTTGCTGCCAGTGACAGCTTACCACCCTGATCCATCCCACAGGGAAGAATCAACTAGAAATTAAAAACCCCATGAGAAACTAAGGGAAATCAAGAACCATCAGACCCAGTTACCACCTCCACCATCCTCAAGCCACTAAAGGCTCAGGTAGTGTGCAGACATAGGGCTGTGGCAGCCACAGTTTGTCATCTCTGAGCAACAGCAGCCCCACAACTCCTGCAGGGAAGAGTCCTGGCTCCTGGGGACCGTCTCCTCCCTGTAGGAACCCAAGCTGCCTCACCTGTTTGACTGGCAAGAACCAGACTTTCCAGCCCAAGTACTCCCACCATCTGTCCAACACAAAAGCACAGAAACACAGAGCATCTCTTGGGCCATCATAGGCACCACTCCCAGTGTCTCTCTCTCTCCTGGGAGCTTCTCCCTAAAGGAAGGATCTCAGGCTGAGTGTTGACTGTGCTGTAACCTCAGCAGAAAAGAGGAAAGCATTCACTCCTAAGCTTCAAGGACAGTGCCAAGCCAAGTATGCAGCAATGTACCTGCTTCTGACACCAGCTTCGGAAGTTCCTCAGGATGCAAAGCTTTTCTCCACCAGGAGCAAAAGGAGACACTATGCACCTTCAATAAGCTCACTTATTTTCACCTCTAACGTGTGGTGAGAGACAGCTCTAGGTCAGAGTGAGCTTTTACTCCCCCAGTTTTAACAGTACTTTCTCTCATATCACATTTCTGCCCCGAAGGACCACAGAATCCCCCCATCCAAAAGATTTTCAGGAAACAGAAATGAGAATAAAACACAGGGCAGGACTGCAAAGGCCCAGGCTGTGTGGGTGGCATGGCTTAATCCCCACAGCGAGATGCAGCAAGTAGATGCTGCAACAGCTGGCATCATTGCTGTTGCTCATAGGAACAGGCTGTTAGTAGCAGCTCACACCCATGAGCTAGAGGGGCTTCTTAGGAAAGAGATTAGACACAGCAGTGTCAGTCAAGCCTCAAGGGCTCAGCCAGCTGTTTGACTCTCTAAGCCATCCTCAAGAAGCTGCCTGGCAGGTCTAGTGGGAAGGTCAGCTCCATCCAGCTAGGAATCTGCCCTGGCTGCATTCTGGCAGAAGAGAAGGTGGTCAATTCGGGACAGCACAGCAGGAGAGATGCCCTGCTGCACAGGCAATCCTGGCCACCAAGAGGGGAATAGATGCTCAAAGGAAATGCACTAGCAGGTAAAGCACCCTGTGTTATCCCATGGTGCCCACTGAGCACAGGAGGGGGGATTCACCCCACTTCTTCCTGCCTTTAGGACTCCAGAACCGAGGTGGTCAGTCACAGGGAAAGCATCTAACAGCTCCCCACCAGGAAGCAGCCCAGGCACGGAGGCATAGATGTGACCCCCAAAGCTTCCCCTCCTGTTGCAATGCCTATTTATGCTGCCTCATTTAGTCTGTTATAAGATTAAAAAGAAGCAGCTTTTCCAACTGCCGCCTCGTTACAACAGAGGAACAGGCCCATGTAAGAGACCTATAGACTGTACTGCCAGCGGTTACTAAGCTTGAAGTTCTCCAGCAAGTGCAGCCCCTTGTGCATGGCCACACCAATGCGAGATGAGCCCGCGGCCAGGGGACTGCTGCCACCAGGAGGGTGACAGTGACCTCCTCCTCCTCTTGCCACCGCGTTCCAGAGCGAGGGCCAGCGGGAGGCCAAGCACCTACACGAGCCGGCACTCAAAGCTGACATTGTGTCGCAGCAGCGGGGGAGGCCTGGTACTGCCACCCTGCCCGGAGGAGGAGGGAAGAGCCATCTCAATGGTTACATTGATGCCGAGGGCCGTGCACAAGAAAGCTCCTCGGCCGCCGGGGGCTGCTCTCGCCCCGCTGCAGCGAAGCCCCAGCAGACCATAGCCCTCCTGGGCTGCCCGGTGCCCCCGCCGGGAGGGCCCCGCTGCCACCCCCGCGAGTGCCCCGGCACAGGCCCCGCCGGCCCCCCCGCCCGGGCGGCTCCCGGCCCGGCTCGGGTGTGGCGCGGCCGGGCCCGGAAGCGGGGCCGCGGCCCAGCGGGGCCTGCGCGGCCGGGAAGGGCCGCTACGGGCCCGGGGAGGCCCCGCGTGTGGGGAGGGGGCTCGGCCACCTTCCAGCGAGCCCCGCGGGCCGCTCCGCCGCCTGTGGGGCCGGCACAGCCCCGCCGAAGCGCCAACGCGGCGGTGCCGATCCCGTCCCTGAGAGGCCGCGCAGCCGCCGGTCCCTGAGCCGGGGAGCGGGAGAACCCCGGGCTCGGGCAACCGGCCGGACCCGGCACGGCCGCCGGCACAGACCTGCCGGAGCGGGGCCCGCTGTTTGTGCCCCGGCACAGAATAGCGCCGAGGGACGGTCGTTCTACCTGGCCGGCCGGGAAAGCATCCCAACCCCGCACAGAGCGGGCGGCCCTGCCCCAGGGAGAGCAGCCGACTGCGGTAAGGGAACTAACTGTACCCTTCCCTGGCACCACGGAGGGAGCGCTGGGGCAGCGGCATCAGGCTGTGAGCCAGGGAGCACTGCAGCTCCTCACAGCGTCAGGACCCAGCTACTTTAAAAAAAAAAAAAAAACACTTCAGCAACTCAGCTTGGACTCCACTTGACTCCCTCCTTCTGACACGGGTAGGTTCGCACACCTCTACACTGCCACAGGGATCCACATCGCCACTACGGGCACCCCCCTCGCCAGGAGGGTGACAGCCTCCGCTAGTGGCGGCCGCACCCAGCGTGGTCACCCCATGTCACAACAGCCACCCCACCCATCAGGCCACAGCCTCCCCCGCCGCGCTCCCCCACACCTGTGGTGAGGGGAAACCACCCACCTCCTCCCAGGACAGAGAGCATCCCAGCTGACAGGGACATGGACGCACACACAGCCTTCTCCAGCAGCCCGGTCAGCAGGTGCCAAGCCAGCACATAACCTCCCTGGGGCAGGGCCCACCTACCCTGGCAGCAGAGCTTCACCCCCAAAGCAGCTGAACCCCCCTAAGGCCTCCCCAGCACCCTTCCGCAAACAGCTCCAAAGTCCCCCCAGCACAGCACAACAGTCAGCCCAGACCCGCTAACCTGGGACACCTTCACCCAAACTGCCCCCTCTTAAACATCCCAAAGGACCGCTGGGGTAGCCCGGGCACCCCTGGCCCACCGCCACCGGACAAGGCTGGGCCCCGCGCCCTCCGTCCCACGTGCCCGCGGCCCGACACCCGCCCGCACTCACCGCCGGCCGCACCCCGCTCTGCCGCCGCCACGGCCGCCCCCACCATTAAACCGAGCGGCCCCGCCCCCCTCGCCGCTGCCCATTGGCCGAGGAGGGCAGAGCTCCGCCCCCGAAGCAGCCGCGACCAATCGGCGCGACCGCCGCGTCCCGCCCGGTCCGTGGCCACGCCCAGGCCGGCGGTGCCGGGGCCGCGCGGGCGCCGCCTGAGGGAGAGGGGGGGCGCCGCGGGAGAGTGAAGGGCGCAGGGAGGGGGAAAGGACGCGGTTTGGGCACGGGCAGGGTGGGGTGCGCAGGGCTGGCCTGGGGGCGGTGGTGACGGCGTGAGGGAGGCCAGTACGGGTCCATTAACAGGTGGCTCGTTTTCTGCCCCAGAGACACCTCAACAGCCATCCCGAGCGTTTGGAAACGCAGGACAGAAGTACACCTCGGAGACCCCGACTCCTACCCCGTGCTGTTTCTAGCACCGCTTCATCCTGCGATGTCTTCACAGCCACGCCAAGCTGCATCCTAAAAAGTGGCCGGGCCTTGGCTCGTGCTCGTCTGGTCTGAAGGCGTTTTTGGAACTCACTATTCTAATTGTTAGGAATCATCTTCTCATTTCCAGCTTAATTGGATGCACGGCTGGTTAATATCCATTTGCTCCTGTGCCAACGTTGTAATTTATCTCTCATAGCTCCTGCCGTGGTGTTTACACTACAGTGTATTTGGAGACGGCAATCATCTCCCTCTCGGCCATTACATGGAAGACTAAACAAGTTTTTCCAGCATTTTCCTGCTAGCCTGCCTGTCCCTGCACCTAATGCCATGGTAGCTCTTCTGCCTGGGCTGCTGCTCAAGGTTCCTCTCCTGAAAATGGGTGCCAAAGCCAGACTTTGTGCTCATCTAGTAAGAATTCCCCAACTGGATACAGCCAGGGTTGCTTTTGCCCTTCTCAGTCCCATTTTGCAGTGGCAGCTCAGTGTCACTCTGTGGCTGGTTACTCCTGTGATTTCTCATCTTCAGATGCTTGCAGCTCACAAAGTCCCCAAAATGCAGTAAAGAAGGTCTGGTGGCTTTCATGCCTTTTTTTTTTTTTTTTGGTGGTACCGCATTCCTTTACTTTCCCCTACACTGCTGATGCACTACAACATTCTGACTTCATCAGATTGCACCTAATATTTGTGCCAGTCAGTCCTTGAGGAAATCAATTTATAAAAACATCCACAAGTACCTCAGTAGTAACCTTCTGTGTGTCCTGATATGCTCCCTTCCCCAGGCTCTGCTTTCATCTTGACCTTAACCACTCCTTCCTACGTGAAATTCCTGTGCTTATTTCTGCCTCAGCATCTACCAAGGTTCCCAGTTGGTCCCAAGGTTCACAGCAGTTTCACTGGAGTCCATGCAGGACCTATAGCTTTATAGAGACATTAGGTTTTTTGTTTGATTGTTGGGGTTTTTTTTTCAACGGTTAGGTTAGTCAGACATAATAAACCTTATTTTATCCCCCATTTCCTGTCCAAGTGCCACGTTACTCTTTAACTGAATACTGTTAACATCAGACTGTCAGGGCTGAAGGTTTCTGGATCACTTTTTCTCCTTTGTTAAGTATAGGCATCAGTCTTGTTTGCTATTCTTCACTTCTTTTTCTTTTTTGTCTTCCTTTTATTTTGCACCATTACTCTATTTTTAGTTGATTTGTGGTCCAATTCAGTGGAAATCTTGCTATGTAGTTTGTCATGAAACTAGAGATCACCAGTGGATTCGTTCACACTCCCTAGCACTAGATTCTCTTCCACCTTGTATCTCAGATCTCATAGCTTTCTCCAAGCATTCCTTCTCTCCTCTGGATCCACCCTTGCTGGCAGGCTTGTCACACTCTAACAATGAGCCCCAAATTGCACAGCCCAGCCTCTTCCTGCTGTTGGAATAATTTTCCAGGTCACTCTCTTTCTTCTGCTCTGAATGCAATTTCTTTTTTCTCCTCTCTTGATCCTGGGCTCTACTTCCCTGTTGTGTCTGCTGTCTCCACCATTGTTCCTGTGTGGTATTTGCTCATTAGTCTTCCCTTGCTACTTCATCTTCTATTTCTCTCCTTAATTCTCCAACACATCAAATAGATTTTACCACTTTATTTCTCCTCTATCAGTTGGTTCTACTTTTCACACTCACTAGCTTCGATGGGTTACCTTTGTCTGCGTGTTGGCCTTTTTTTACTTCTCATGCTCAGCAGGTTTCTGCAGTTCCTCAGTGTTCCCCCTTCCCACCATATCCCTGGAGCTACAGCAGCCTGGGCAGGAGCTCCAGCTGGAGCCAGGACTCTGCTCTGCCAGAGCAGCCTGGCTGCAGGCAAGCGGATCCGGCACCTCCTGTTCGAGGGAGTGATGCAGGGTCCCCTCCTAACCCTTGGGGACAGGCCTCCAGCAAGGACCTGACTAATCTGCTGCATGTTGTAAATCCGGGTTTCTGCCTTCCAGCCTCTTTGGAAGCAGGGTAGCACAAGCACACATAGAAAGGAAAATCCCTCAAAAGTAAGGGAGGTGAGGGAGACAAGGCCAGAGTGACATGACCTGTTGTCCACAGCCAGATGTTCCCAAAGTGTCTGGAGAGAGATTTTTATAAATGGATAATCTTCTTCTTCCGTCTTGAATCCTGCCCGTGTGACCTGAAATCTGGGAGAGAAGCTGTTTGCAGCCAGCCAAGCATGTCACCCTGACTGGTGATCATCTCCAGAGCAGAGATGATCCTGTCACACACCCGCACAAGGGTGTCCTGCCTGCACCAGCCACTCCTGCAGCAGACAAAGCCCTACAGGTCATTGACTCTTCACCTGCAGTTCAGGAGACAACCTGGCTGTTGTGCTCCTGGTCCCAGCAGCCTGGGCTGCACCAGGCTTCAGTTTGGGAGAGCTAAAGTTCCTTCCTCCACTTCTTATCCTGGAGAACAACACACCATTTCCATTGTAGCTTTAGTGAGGGCCCTGCTGATCCTTCTTGGCATGGAGATCCGATCAGATGGAGCTGGCTGTGGGTCTTTGTGTTCCTCTCCATTGTTCCCTCCACCAGTCCCTGTCTTTTGTTTTCTCCTTGCTCCTTGCAGAGCCAGGTGCACCTCTCTTTCCCCTTGTCTCTCTGCCTTGGTGCAAAAAGCAGGCATGTGTTAATGTAACTTGCTGAAGGCACAATGACTGAAGCCATCATCAGTGCGGAGGATTATCAGACTATCAGATGGGAAGGGAACTTCTGTAGGAACTAAGCAATGGAAAAGGAGTGAAGTTCAATGAGAGGTTATGACCTTAGAGATTAGTAATGATGATTTCTTCTGCATGTAATGAGATGTAATGAGTTTCTCAGTACTGCAGCTTTTCTGGTGCCAGTCTTGAGGACTGGCTTAGGTTCACCATGCAGCTGAATAGGGAAAATAGGGAGTCTCAGCCCCCTCAGGGGTTTAAGTTTCTCAGTTTTCTTGCAGAGATAAAAATTCTTAAAATCCTGGCTTGCTGGGGAACTAAAATACCTTTTTGATCACATCTGGTTTATATTCTCTTATTCACTGAATTTATAACTATGAATTTATTACTTTTAAATACTGATAATCTGAATGGTGAGAGTTTTATGTGGCAATACATTAACATTATGCAACTTGAAAAATCTAAAATATAATGAAAAGACAAAATGAATTCAGTGAAATGAAAAACAGGTACACTTGGCCCTGTAATTTTTCAGTAATGTATTTGACATACATAGTTAGTAAATTTACCTAGCTTATTACACTTGGGGAGTGAAAAGATGATTCCCAGATCCTCCTGTCCTTTTCTTTTTAATAATGAAAACCCAGTGATTTTGCATATGATCAGATAAAACCACTGAATGTAAATTGGCTCTCTAATGTTGTTTAACCCTTCTCCCTTTCCCTGAGTTTGGACCCTAAAGCACTATCAACCACACCTCATTGCTGCACACCTCTGTGACTGCATGACAAAAATTGACAGGTTGATTACCCTGGGAATCGCAAATCATCCAAGAAATGCTCCTACACCACCTCTATCTATACTGAGAGGATGAAACAAGGCTTTCATGACCACTAGAAGTGGAGATCGATGACACCACTCGGAACCTGAAGGACCATTAAATGCCATAATGTCACTTTGTGATTTCAATAAATGGAGGTGGGCAGGTAGGTCATGCCCGAGCATGCATTGCTCAGGCTGATGTGCTGCCTCCTTCCATGGTTGATATCAAGTTTAAGTGACTCATCTTGGGCAAAATTTTATGTGTTATATATGCTGATTACATCATACCTGCAGCAAAGGCCAATTACCCCGTCATTGTTGCCCTCTTCCCCTTAAAGCCAAAAGAAATACCTTCATTCCTGGGATTCACGGTTCCTACAAGCCCCTCAAGCTACCAACAAACAACTCACAACATTTCTGTAGCCAGCAGGCATGACGTGACCCTGCTGAAGCCCGTGCTGTAACATGATGCTGTAGTTTCACACTAAAACAGCACCTGGAAAAAGGTATTCTGGTGGATGAAAGGGGATGTTGGAAGCATCACCCGGAAGCTTGCAGGCACTGTGGTGGTGCCCTGGGAGCTTTGATGGCAGACTTTCACCCCGGTGTGTTTAATTGCTGGACTTTGCCTGCCAGCTGGGGTGGGCAGCACACATGACTGCAGTTTCCTGCCGGGACCTTTGTCGGCTGCATAACAGCCTCTCCAGGGTGAGAGCCCTGGCACCCACCTCCGCAGCCTGGCAACATCACTCCAGCAGTACAGGACCCCCTGCCACCTCCACAGACATGCCAGGAGTCTTGGCCCATTCTGAACCTGTTAAAGCATCCTTATTTTTTCCCGTGGCCTGCAGGATAACCTTATGGAATAATGGTGCTTGTTTCAAATCCACCAAATTATGGGGAGGGTGGGGGGGAAAGAAGTAGAGCCACGGTTGGAGCAAGGTGCCCAAGGATACCAAAAGCCTGGAGAAGCCCATTCTTCAATGTCTCTGCAAGGCAGGAGGCACAGCAGGGCCAGCTCAAGGCCCAGAGCGGACTGGTAGGAGGCTGGAAAGGGTCAGGAGGTTTGGGGGCTTCAGCACATGCAGCACAACAGCAGTCCTTGGTTACTAGTGCAAGAACTGGCAACTGTTCACATGCAGTGTGTCGTGGCAGAAGACCTGGGAGTTCTAGTAGCTCTGTTTCTGGTAGGGACCTGAAAACTGCCCTTTCTCTGTGAGCTTTTAAGGCTGTCTCATGGACACATGCTCCTGAAGAGAGAAAATGCAGGTGAGGAGAAAGGCCCTGCTCTTGCTCATCCCCCGAATGCCCTTTCCATCTGAAGTGATCATCTCTGGGAACTCGTCCCAGACTGCATGGAGCCCAAGAGAGCATCTTGGCAAAGCCGGGTGACTTCTCCACCCTTGGCAGGCAGTTGGGATTACAGTCAGAGTTGGTGACATGACACCCACATATCACGCTCCACAATTGTGTCCCAGGGCTGCCTTCCTAACGTGGTACAGCAGTGCCATGCAGCTCCATGGAGCACACAAAGCCGGAAGAAAAACCCTTCCCAAATGCTCCAGGCTGAGCTGGACACTTTCCTGGGAAGACTTTGCCTTGACCTGAAGTGGCCAGGGAGTCCCAGGCAGAGGCTGCCCAGGTCCCAGGTGCTGCCCCCTCGGCCATGGGGCAGTGGGGCTAAGCCGGTGCTGGCATGAGCACGCTGCTGGTCACTCTGAGGGACTAAGCCACAGAAAGGACATTGTCAGAGTGGAGGATTGTTCTGGGGGAACAGGCTGCACAAAGAGGAATTGTTTTGCTGTGAAATGAGGCCGTGTTTAGCTCCAGCCGAGGCTGGGCTTTGCCTGCCTGTCTGGGCTGCAGGCTGGTGGGGGACACTGTCCTCCCTGGCCTGCCTGGCATCTTCTCTGCTTCTAAGGTTGTCCACTGGCACAGTCAGCAGCAGAGTACATGCCCTGAGACCCATTGTGGTTTGGGAGAAAAAAGAAGTTGAGGGATAAGAGAACTCATGGCATGTCTGCCATGGCTTTCTGCACCTGCCTGGCATGCCCAAGGGACACAGGGGAAGGGGAGAGCAGCAGGGGGGCAGCTCCCACAGTGGGGGGCTGCACTGTTTCTCCTAGGGACAGATAAACAGGAGGGAAACAGAGGTATGCAGTAAACTGATCCAAGATAATGGGCAGACAACATAGCAGCCTCTTTTCTGGAAATACCTCTC